ATATATATATGTATATTTTGTACATTATACACAGTGTATGGTGTTGCAGTCCACCAACACGGCCGATAGATAAACGATACCGCTTAAACAAAAAATAATAATAAAAGTTCGAAAAATAAATTAAAAAATACATTGAACAAAAATATATTGTTTGATGTATGTATATTTTCATATTTTATATTATACTATTAAGTAATAAAATAATTGTTTTATACTTTTATTATATATAGGTATATTACAGTAAGCAGTTAGCACATTCATGTGATATTCTATCGTTTCATTATCTAGCGAGTTTGAGCATTGATTCTGCAGTAGGTATATTTATGTCCAGGTTCCAGCTGGAGTTCAAATGAGACGGATAAACAAGTAAACGTTATGGTTATATTGTATTATTGTATGAATAGGGAATATTGTTTGTAAAATGTAAATAATTAACTATAAATTATTATACTCGGATATTCGATTTAATAAAAAGAAAAAAATTCAGGTCGTGCAGTCACTCCGGTTCATAATTAATTATAATTTATAAACAATATCATTATTGACATAGACACACTGAGTCGTTAATAATATTATACTTACGTCGTCGCTCGAAGTCTAACAACATAAACATCAATATTATTACCATATACGCAGAGTCTATAATAAACATTATACATAAATATTTAACATTTCTAGTGCTCGCTAGCACGAGTTTATAATACGTGAATTTCATATCGTAATATCGCATACAATTTACATTTAAATTAAAATAAACATAATTATGTACAATTGTCGGTCGACATGATGCAATTACATGTAGGTACATGATGTGAATTTTCATGAATATAAATATATATTTTATGTGTAGGTAAGTACGTCATATCATAACATTATATTATATATCACAGTGTATATATTATATTATTATTATTATTATAAGTGGTATTTCGAACAAATATGCTCGTGTTTTCTTTGCTAGAATATTATTGTCTTGTATATAATAAAAAGTGAACCAGAATACGTAAATATTTGTACTCAAAATGTATTATACGACGTACCAACGTTATAGGTAGATCGTAGGTATATGACGTGAATACAATAATAATAATAATACAGGTAAAACGAAAAATGAAATTATATTTTACATAGATCATAATATTGTTATCTTGTGCCCAACGAAAAACAAAATCATTTTTTCGCTGTGACAATATGCACCCATTTACATATAATATATTATCTACTAATAATATTATAATAGTTGGAGGAAATTTTTTTTTTATCTTCTGTATACTCGATATCAACTAGTAACGTAATCCTACAAAAAACTCTTCGTTGCCTCGCATTTAATCCATTAATTCAGTTTTATATTCTCTGAATGACACATTTCGATTTACTTTCCAATCAGGAGATTATTAGCTGAAAAGGTATTGACAGTAAAATAGTAGTATTTTTACTGCACCAAAAGGTAACGACTGATGCAAAAAAAGTAAAAACACACATCGTCATAAAGTTACTAAGATCTGTACATCAATCATCGCTTCTCTAAGATTCTAAAATAATAAAATCTACATTTACGAATTTTTTAGTTGATATTTCATAGCTAATAAGGTACAAACAAAAATTAAATAAAAATACATGTATATATTCATCGGGTGCTTGTGCTGGATGATGATTGGGAATACTGGTGTTGCAGTTGACATTAACAATTTATTCATGATGGCACATCTTCTCGAACATTCCTAGTTCTTACTTCTTACCATTGTCTTCCTTAATACAATTTTTCAACTAAGAACTTATAGATATTTTAAAATAAATTCGAACTCGAAATCCTCAAAATAAACAAAATGTTAACTTTATTTATTCAGAACTTTTAATCTATTTTTTTTTTAACAACATTCCTAAAATGGATTCAATAAGTTATTATTTTTCAAAGAAACTATAGTAAATAATATGCGTAATAGATTATTATTACTATAGTAAAAACTTCTAGACCTTAATCAATATTTTTTGCTGTTGAGTCATACCAGTCTGCTATTGCTGCACAGCGTTATTCATTATTACTTATTAGGTGAGTACTTATTTTTCGACAAACACGTCACAGTTCGATTATATTTGAAGGTAAATTGTTGTTAGGTAAGTAGGTAACTATAATAATAATATTATGACTTGTAATATACAAAACAATATAATTATAATACCTACTTATAGGTAT